AGTGAATTAATAAATAAATAAATAAATAAAAAGAACAGACACTGACTTGATAGAGGCTATTTCTACTAATTCCCAGTTCTCCATTTACTAAAATAATTGTAACATCAGAAAGGTTTCTAGAGATAGGAACTGAGTCTAATATAGTTCCTAGAAGATAGCATGCTATGATCTTTTTTCTTTAATATTTTTGCCATAGGGTATGTGTGCTTTCGGGAGAGAGGCACAGAGAGAGACACAGAGAGAAAGAAAGTAAGAAATCACCCCAAAGGGATGGCCACTCAGCAATACCTCCTCCTTCATTTTTCCTTTCAAGATTTTGAACATGCGTGCAAATGCACCTAGCATGTTTGTCAAGCTGCTGGGTCTGGGACTTGAACTGTGCAGTTGACCATGCAGAATCCACTGTCTTAACCACCACACTACCTGTTGGTTGCATACTGTGATGTTGAAGGAGATCATCCATCCTACCAGGATTCCATAGAGAGAGAAGAGCGCGGGAGCCCTCCAGTCTATATTTTGTTATACTCAGGGATGTAAAGTCCTTATGTTGAACCTTCAAGACTCTTTTAAGCTGTTTCATATATTCCACTCATTAATATCTGTAGAGGTTGATAATATGTGTAAAGCTGATGTCTCCTGGTACATCACATTATTCCTCCAACTCAACTCTTCAAGGAACTCTTGTCTTCCTTATTGAAAGTCTATAGCATATAATTCATAAAGATATCATGTCAATGGAAGTATGAAATATTTTCATGTGTGTTTCTCCCCCCTGGGGAGTGATTTCTCACTTTCTGTCTCTATGTCTCTCTCTGTCTGTCTGGCAAGCGCACGCGCCCTATAGCAAAAAACCTCTCAAAAAAAAAAAGTATTGAGAACAGTGCATAAGTCTATGTATATGTCAACTGTGATTGACACTGAGCTTGAACATGCGACTTGCTTTGGCTGACAGACTATGAGTGGCCATGACATGTTCAATGCCTAAGAAAAACATGTAAGATTCCACCAGCTCTCTTCATCTTTCTCTCTTCGCATTATCCTTGCTGTCTAAAAGTCTAGGACTAACTAGATTTGAAAGCTCCTATGGGAGGATTATTGTTGTCTCTTCCACAATTATGTCTTGATTCCCAATGTGAAAACTTGACCAATACAGATTCCCTTGTGATAAAAAGGCATGATGTTGGGACCAGCAGTTGGCATAATGGCTATGTCACTGGACTCCCATGTAGTCGACCGCAGTTAAAATCCTGGACCCGATGACTTAAACTCACACAAGGACCATGTGTGTGTGTGCCTAAAATCTCAAGAGGAGAATGGAGGAGAAGGGATTGTGGTGTGGCCATCCCCCCTGGGGGGGGTGATTTCTTGCTTTCTGTCTTTCTGTCTCTCTGTCTTTCTGGTAAGTACATGCGCCCTATAGCAAAAACCTCTCCAAAAAATAAATAAATAAAAGAATGGGCAAATGCACTAAACAGACAACTCTCTGAGGAATACATACCAATGGCAAAAAATATATGAAAAAAATGCTCAACATCCTTTTTCATAAGGGAACTGTAAATAAAAAACACTACGAGATACCACTTAACCATAGTCTAAATGGCTGTGATTTTAAATATGAATGCCAACTGTTGCCAAGGTTGTGTAAAAAGGGAACTCTTGTAGGGGCTGGCAGGTGGCATGGTGGTTAAGTTGTTGGACTCCCATCTGGTCACTCACAGTTCAAATCTTGGACCTGATGGCCTGCTTACTCTCTCTCTCTCTCTCTCTCTCTCTCTCTCTCTCTCTCATCAAGTTAAAAATAATAATAATAAATAAAATTGAACAGATAGTTCTTTAATTTAAAAAAATGGAACCCTTCTATACTGCTGGTAGGAATAAATTAGTACACCCACTACGGAAAACAATATGTAGGTTCCTCAAAAACCTACAAATACAATTACTATTCTACTAGTAATATCACTTCTGTGTATTTACCCAAAAGATAAGAAAATACTCAGTGAGAAAGACATGTGCACATCCATGTTTACTGCAGCATTATTTACAATTGCTAAGATATGGAATCAACCTAAATGCCCCAAAAAGGCAACTGGATCAAAAAAATTTTCCACAAAGGCATTAGGGAACATTATTCAGCCATAAAATCAATGAGACCCTCTCTTCTGATACAATATCAAAGAGTTAATGCTAAGCTAAGCAAGGTAAACCAGACTATGAAAGATAAACATTCTGGAACCAGCAATTAGCATAATGGCTATGTCGCTGAACTCCCATGTAGCCGATCGCTGTTCAAGTCCCAGACCCGGTGGCTTAAACACTCTAGGCGTGTGTGCATGCGTGCCCAAGATCCCAGAGGAGAATGGAAGAGAAGGGATTGCAGCGTGGCCATCCCCCCTGGGGGGTGATTTCTCACTTTCTGTCTCTCTGTCTCTGTCTTTCTGGCGAGTGCACACGCCCTATAGCAAAAACATTTCAAAAAAAAAAGAAAGAAAGAAAGAAAGACAAACATTCTATGTCCAGTCAATATACACCAAATATCTGCAATTTATGACATAAACTGAAAGATTGGAAGGTATAATAGCAGAGATGGCAATTATACAATCTTTTTGCATTGCACTGTTTTGACTGAATTATCACATGAGGTCAGGTGTGGAGTTTTCTACATGTGGTATCATATTTTGGAATGGAATTCATACTTTCAGAATAAGAAGACTCAACTTTTAAGAGAACAGTGGGAATCTACAAATTGTTTCTGACATTGGGTTGGGAATAAATATGGAAAAGCAGAGAAATAAAGGAAAAAACTGTTAGATATAAGAAAGCGAAAAAAATTTGTGGGAACCAGCAGTTGGCGTAATGGCTATGTCACTGGACTCCCACATAGTCGACCGCGGTTCGAGTCCCGGACCCAGTGGCTTAAAACTCACGCCAGGCGCGTGTGCGTGCGTGCCCAAGATCCCGAGAGGAGAATGGAGGAGAAGGGATTGCAGCGTGACCATCCCCCCTGGGGGGTGATTTCTCGCTTTCTGTCTCTATGTCTCTCTCTATCTGTCTGGCGAGCGCACGCACCCTATAGCGAAAACCTCTCAAAAAAAAAAGAAAAAAAGAAAGGGAAAAGATTTGTTAAAAAAAAAAAAAGTAACTAAAATATTACGAAGAGTTAAAACCAAAGAAATTAAGACTCCAGAAAATATACAGATTTAGTAAATTCCGCTTCAGTAATCTGATAAAAGAATCACAATTTCTAACTGTCAGGCTTAGATCCCTGCAAGTGCATGCACTTCTGAAAAATGTGCCTTTCTTTTTTTTTTTTTTTTTTTTTTTTTTTTTTT